CCCTGGAGAAGGATATCATGCTTTGTAAAGTAGAGGGTCAGTGAAAAAGAGGAAGACCCTCAACGAGATAGATTGACACAGTGGCTGTAACAATAAGCTCAAGCTTATCAAGGATTGTGAAGATGATGCAGGACTGGCCAGTGCTTCGTTCTGTTGTACATAGTGTTACTATGAGTAGGCACCTAACAACAAAAGTGATATAATTTGGTAGTTATATATCCCTTGTGATGTGATCTGATGCAGTCAGCCAATCAGTTGTAAGGGGAGATTCCTCAGGGTTGTGGCCTACATCCAATGTATATATGGATGTTCTGGCAAAGCTTGTTTGCTTGCTTTAGATCCTGCATCCAGCTTGTATCATCTGACCTCCAGTTCTTGAGACTTGAGCCAGTGGCCTGTAGTCTTACCTGCCAATCTTGGGATTTGTTGGCCTTTGCAGCCTGTGAGCTATCAATCTGAAGTCTTATCTGTCAGTCTTGGATTCATCAACCTTTCACAACCTGTGAGCCAGTGGCCTGCCATCTGACCAGCTGATCTTGGATTTGTCATCCCGTGTAGCTACATGAGTCAGGAGATGCTTCCAGCCTGATGCCTGACCCACGTACTTGGGACTTGCCAGCCCTACAACTGCATGAGTTATTTCCTTGAGACAAATCTCCCTCTTTCTACATACACATTGCTAGTTTTGTTTCTCTAGAGAACCCAGCCTAAGACATTGTTCTAGAATGAAGTTGTATGGCTAAGTTGTACCGAGCAACTAGCCAAAGATGCGATGCTAAGAGTGTGTTAGCCATCATCTCGATTAGAAACAACACCTTTCTTCTCCCAGTGGATAACACTGTCAGGTAAGATTATTATTATTATTATTTGCTAAAAATTCCATTGTGAGGGAAGTCTCCTGTTTTTATTAAATGTCTTACATTAATAGACTAAAACCATTTATACTGAAAACTGCAAGTGAATCCTTTCTTGCTTAAGTTGATGAATAAAATCTAGGCTAGTCTTCTAAAGACCCTTTTGCAGATGACTGAAAGAGAGGAGAAAAAGGGCACAAAACGCAGACTTTTTTAAGGAAATTAATTTGTTTGGTCAAATTATGACTCAAAAAGACACAATGCAATGATGTTTAAGTTTCTGGTTTTATGTTTCCTACTAGGTCAAAATGCATTTCAGCATTATTCCTTTCTTCTTAAGTGTAGATTGTGATCATTTACTGTAAACTTAAAGAGCCCTAAGTCTCAATACTGTAGTATCAAATGTGTGCTTGTTAATTCTGGAGCTTGGTTCTGCTATGTCCCCAAAGCCTAAAAATTATTATCAAACAAGAAAATCAAGTAATTAAGCTCTCTGCTCTGAATCTGATCTATACTCACTACCTTCAGCATAAAAGGGTATTCACTCAAGTGGCAAGTTTAACTCTCTAATAATGAACTTGGATCAGGGAAATGATTTGTTAATGCTTTCACGAACATTGAGAGTATAGGAGCTGATTTTTTCCCAACCCCACACACCAAATCCACCGTGGTTTTCAGTGGCCTGGACAGGAAGCCAAAGCCAACATGCATGGAAAAGGATGACAAAAAGTATTAATAGGAGTAAAAAAAACCAAAAACCAAAGAAAACCAAACCCATTGCCGTCAAGATGATTCCGATTCATAGCAACCCTATAGGACAGAGTAGACCTGCCCCACAGGGTTTCCAAGGAGCAGAAGCTGGATTTGAACTGCTGACCTTCTGGTTAACAGCTGTGCTCTAAACTACTGCACCACCAGTTGCCTTCACAAAGTCCATCTGAGTGAGCTCTTCTCCTTGTAATGACTGCAGGGCATGTTGCAAACTCAGCAATTTATGGTCAGCTGCCTTTTGTACTCAGACATAGTCAAATAAAACAAGCTCTTATTTAGATTGAAATAACTGGTTTATTATTCATGGACTTGAGAAAGAAACTGAATTAAATTCAGTTTCAAATCTCAATTATCACCAACTGAATACAGAAAGAATTTAATACAGGTGTACCAATTAGTTTTATTAACATACATAGGTAAAATATACATGTTTTACTTGATATACTTGTTTTGAGGGACCCTTCTTGGAGTTAAACTTATTTTTATTAGTTGGCTGGGCATGATACAGGTTGAACACCCCTCAGCTCCAAGGCCTTGGCAAAATTAACCTCCAATGGCTTGCCGGTTCCTTTGGTGAGCCTCAGGGATCGGATGCATCCTCGGAACGGAATGTTGGTCGTCAGGCCAAACTGATTGAGGCCGCCTGAAAAAGAAAAAAAAAAAAAAAAAAAAAAAACTGAGAAGGCTTAATTTAGAAAAGTTGCTTTTATGTTATGAATATGTTTCAAAGTCAGCTCTTAGCTTGAGATTAAATTGGAAGGCTGTTTTATGTAAAGTTTTGTCAGTTTGTCATATTGTGGTGACTTGCACGCTACTATGATGCTGAAAGTTATGCTGGTATTTCAAACACCAGCAAATATCTATTGTGGACAAGCTTCAGTGGAACTTCCAGACTAAGACAGACCAGGAAGAAAGACTTGGTGATCTACATCTGAAAATTAGCCAATGAAAGCCTTATGAATCATAACAGAATACTGTCCAATGCAGTGCCGGAAAATGAGCCCCCTAGGTTGGTAGGCATTCCTAATACACAGTAGCTACAACAATGGACTCAGGTATATCAAAGGTCATGAAGATGGTGCAGAACTGGGCAACATTTCATTCTGTTTTCTCACGGGGTTGCCATGAGTAGGAGTTGACTCAATGGCCATTAACAATGACAGCAATGTTAAGAGCTTGTCTCACAGTCAGCTGTTAGCTTGAGATTAAACTGGAAGGCTGTCTTATGAAGTTAGTGAGTTTGTTTTAACTTTACAAACAGTTCAGTTTATAGAGAAATAACAACTTTTTATAGTTATATATTATGAAATGTGAAAACTTCTAGAAGTATACATTTTAAGGCATTAAACAGAGAATTGTTTTGGAATGAACTAATTTACAGTTGTGACTTAAAACTATTAAATTTCATTTAAGAAAACAAAGCAATTGATCAAATACTCCAAATACTGAATTAGGACATGTGTTTTTAAAGGGGACTTTATTACTTTCTTACATTGTAAACGTATATCCTAACAGGTTAAATTGGTTGAAAACTCTTACAAAAGCTTCTTCCTCTTATTAAGGAAAGACTGCCTTCTTTCAGCAGGCCTACTAGGTGCTAACTAGCATGCCATTTCTTAAGTGAGGTAGACTGTGAATGGAGAATTGCATTATATCCTTTGTAATCTTGGGGTTACTCCGGATTGAAGCAGAAGTGGGTCTTTTTAAAACTCAGAAGCAACTTTGGAAAGAGGAGCTCTGAATTGGTCCCCATTTCTCCTAGATCTTTTTCTCTGTCAACCACTGCTGAATATATGTTTCGTTAAGCAAAGCAGCTTTGGGGACAAAAGTTTCTCTTGCCAAAATGATGAAAGAGCATTCCAAGAGTCTGTATTATTACAGTACTTAATAAACGGCACTTAGCTTATTTCTCATCAAGTTGGTCACTCTTATTTATGGGCACTTTAGGTAACCCTCGGTGGTTCATATGCTATACTTAATAGGCTGGAGAGGGATTTTTGAATGCAGATTTATTGCTTGGGTTTTTTTGAATATAAATATAAATGCTATAATAACCTAAGGGAGAAATTAGTTACATTTAACCCAATGATTTCCAGAACTTGAGGAAATAAGTTCCATAACATTTTATGATTCCTCTGGTATATTAATTTAAAATCATCAGAAAGAACACCACCTCCGGTGCCAATTCTGTTAAATGTTTCATATCTTTTACAAGTCAAATTCATTTCCTCTAGTCTCAATCTCCCTACAAATGAAATTTTGGGGGCTATCATGAAAAGCTTAGTCCCATGTGGTTCGTATAAGTAATATGCTCATTTTACACACTGGAAATTTTAGTGAAGGTGTTATTTATGGATGTAGATTCTAAAGCTAGGGCCCAAGTACACTTGAATTCACATTCCTGGACATATTTATATGAATATAAATATTTTCAAAACAACTAACGTAAGAAAGCAAAGGCATTCTTGCTGGGGTAGCCAGCACTGACCTGGGAAACCTCCAACAAACACAGGGTCATTTGTATCAGCTGACGTAGAAGCTTGGTTTGGGCTTTGGGCTTCCACCTGGTTCCCATCAACTGTCAGCTCAATGCGGTGTTTGATCTTGTTGGCAGTGACCTTGTGCCATTGTCCATCACACAAACGCCCTGGGATTCCAGCATCATAGACCACAGTGAATCGGCCAGCTCCATTGTCCACATGAAACATGAGCTAGAAAGTAGGGAATTGAACAGTCACAGATGGTTTCATTAGAGGGTATCATAATGGTTCACAGAGTACAATTATCAGGTCCGTAGGAAAGATGTTGGCTGGAAGAGTTTGATACATAACTGGGTCATATTAAAAAAAAATTAAAATGCGACAGAAATTAAAATACAAATGTTATTTCCAGTATTCATAAATAATGTTTTTTGTATTTGAGCATTGCTGGGGGAAATAGACAAGATGTATGAAATAGGTAATAATTCTGCTTTCAGAAAATGCAAAATACAATTTGAGGTCAAATAACAAGAAAAAGACCTAGTATACACAAGAACAATTCTGCCACAGTTCTTTTTAGAGTGTTATAGTTCTTAGTGTACCTTATAACCTTTTATTAAAAGATGTTGTTTAAATTGATTCACTAATTTGATTTACAAATACATTGTAAGGATTATTGCCATTGTTTTTAAATTTAAACTTTTGATGTTGTGATTGTAGTTTTCTTTCCTACATTGGCTCTATTTGCACACAGGATGAAAAGTTACATAAATTACTTTTGGGGGCACGCTTCATGTCACAGGTGCCAAAGTATTTGAGCCAGAAGGCCAGTTAATTTCCTAACAATGAATAAGTTAGATTGGAAATTCTTGTCTAAAAGAAAAAAAAAAATCTGTTTTTAGTAATATGGAAAGGTCCCTGAAATTTGAGATGACAGAATTCTTTTGAAGCTGATGAAGACAAGAAACATATTGAAACAATAAAAAGATATAATACAATTGACAGCACATTTGAAGAAGTAAAAGAAAAGTAGTAACATTTTTAAAAAAAGATTGAAAGTGCAAGTAAATAGGTGAAAAGTTCGTAAACTATAGTGTTGTAAATATTAATTGTTTTACTATGCAGGGCGCGGTTTGTAGTAACAGGATTTTACAGGATATTGGCAAGAAGTCCATATGCACTGAATAGGAACTTGATACATTTGGCAAGTTGATAGTAACTGCAGTTATGAGCAGGTGATGAAATAAAGCGCACTACAAAAAAGATGTAGTGAAAGTGTGTTCTGAAAATATGGCAAAACATTAAGTGTTGCTTATTTGTTCACTCTTTTTGTCTCTGAGATCCTGGATTTTTTTTGCTATATTGCCTTTGAGGATGACTTGGGACCTGAGGGGAGGCAGGTAGAAGGCAAAGGAAAGAGTATTTTAGATCACTGTGGGTCTTGGGAAGGCGGCAAAAACACCGTAATAGTGAAATATGGAATTGAAGTATGATTCCTATTTAATAGCCAAATAGGAAACGTGAAATTTCTGGCTTTACCTCCTCTTCTCATCTGCTCCCCATAGGTACCAAGTATATACAAACAGATCCTATCACTGCAGGTTGCTGGTGATAGGCAGGCAGGGACTAAAGAGATATATTGAATTAGATTATCCATTTTCTTGGTAAGCAAATTGATAAAATACTTTTGCTATTAATTTGTTCTGTTTTAATAATGGTATCTGAATGCTTTTAAATAAAAATCGAGAAAACTATATCATGTCAGCTGGAGACCTTGGATTCTGAGAGGTGTCTACCCTATTATCAGAGGCGAAGACTGATTTTAGTTGATGCAAGTCCCTTCCTCCATTGGAATCAATAGTTTTATAAACTGTGTTTTCATAGAGGAGAATAACAGTGTTCTTTTAGCAGCACAATTAGAGCTTGAGATCTAAACCACCTGGTTTCGTATTAGTCAACACAACTGGCTTGCTTTGGAATGAGTACTTTCAAAGTTTACACTGGCCCACAGAATAAACACACATGAATTGAGATAATCTAGGATAAAAAAAGATACGATCTAGGTTTCTCCAAGCAAAGAATATAGTGGGGCTTCCATCTGAAGAGTTCAAAATAAGAGTTCTCTACATATGAATGACATTACGAAGAGGAGCTCCAGAAATGTTCAGACTGCTGACATTCACCTTTTCATCAATCATTTCGATACCCATTCCGTCCATTTTTTGGCTGCTAATTCCCAGAAGAACTCCAGTGGTCCTAGTTGTGCGGAATTCGAATTCTATAAGAAGGTCCAATCCCACCTTGAATCCACCAACTGTAAAATGAAGATTTTTTTTAAATTGTAGTGTAGAGTTTAGGGAATGTTACTTCAAATTTGTACAATGCAATGATTGTACTAGATTTCAATTCATATGTTAATCAATTATAATGAGGACTGTCAGTTACAGATTCCCATATGGCCTTTACTTCCACCATCATATCACTTAACACACTTTATTGGTTATTGCTTATTTTCTTGGCTATCTTCCCTGCTAGAATGTAGGTTCTGTGACAGCAGGGACTTTGTCTTTATTGCTCACCAACTGATTCCTAGTGTCTAGCAAAGTATGTGGCACATATAAAACAAAACAAAATCCTGTGCTGTCAAGTTGATTTTGATCATGGCGACCTCAAGTTTTACAGAGTAGAGTTGCTCTATAGGGTCTTCTTGGCTGTAATCTTTGCTAAAGCACTTTGCCAGGCTTTTCTTCTCTGGCACCACTGGCTGGGTTTGAACTGTCAACCTCTAGGATAGTAGTTGAGCACAAACCATTTGAACAACCCAGGGATCTCTATCTGGCATAACAAAAAACCAAACCCATTACCGTCGAGTAGATTCCGACTCATAGCGACACTATAGGACAGAGTGGAACTTCCTCACAGGGTTTCCAAAGCTTTAACCTATACAGAAGCAGACTGCCCCATTTTTCTCCCATGGAATGGCTGGTGGGTTTGAACTGCTGACCTTTTGGTTAGCAACTGATCACCTTAACCATTGTGCCACACATAGTGGAGGTTTAATATATATTGGTTGAATAAATGAATGAATAAACATACATGGAGACTGACTCAAAGATTCTCACAGTGAGGTATGATGTTAGAAGTCTCTCTGTTGGACTGAGCAAGAAAAGCTTTTCAGTGATTCTTCAGTAAAATTTTACTGGAACATTCTAAAAGGTACCGCAATGATTTGAAAGGGTTCAAAAGTTCCCGAATATTTTATTTATAAAGAGAGGAAATACAAGTACTATCTGGATGGGAAGATTCTGGGTTTTAGCAGACTTCTCTAGTTCATTCAGTTCACTCTTTTTTCTACAGTTTTTCATATTTGATTTACTTGTTTATTTAGTTTTTAGCAAATATTTAAGACATGCGTCTTAGAAACAAAGTGATACTGAACTATTCCATGAAGCCATCGTTAAACTAAATGTCAGTTTAACCTAATTAATAAAGAACGTTTGCCTCGAGCCTAGCACTCTTATAAAGAATTACCTATATGGGTGTAAACTGACAACAGTTAATCTAAAGCACAGATGAGAACTTCAAGGGTTTAATGGCGATGAAACAATATGGGTAGAGATAGAATGGTGATACAATGTGAAGTATGTACTCAATGTTATTGAACTGTTCAGGTAGAAACTGTGAATGGAGGTATGTTTGGTTGTAAATTTTGCCACCAAAAATAAAATGTTATTAAAAAAAAGAAACAAACTGATTTATTATGATTCATGCTATACAACATCAACGACATGGAGTATTAGGGAAGAACTTCATGAAAATTTTCTCCATATCTTCTATTTGTTAGACAGCAGAAGAAATACATGCTATGGGTAACCACAACTGTCTCCAAAGAAGGGTGGAACTTGTTATGTGGAAGGCTTTTTTGGGCAAAGACGGGCCTAGAAAAGATCTTAAAAGTAAAGGGTAAAAGAAGTAACTTGTTTTGAAAAACAAAACAGAAGGAATTGGTTTCTGTTCCTGAAGGGAGATGCAAGAAAAGAGAACAGAGGAATGACATAAAGCAGTTCAGCTGAGGACAGTGGGGAGGAGCAGAGGCCAGCAAAAACAAAAGAAAACAAAACAGTGATGGGGTGACTGTAAAGCTTTCAAGAATAAAGATGTCTAAGGATTAAATTGAAGCTGTATGTTTTCCAGTGAAGTAACCTTCTCCCCTGACCACCCAAGTCTGATGTAGATTGTATTATACTCTGTGTTGAGGGGTGGCAAGGGTTCTTGGAAACTGGGAATGGCTAATTTTCTGGTGTAGAGTGATATAGAACCTGAAGAGCCCAGTCAGGATGGCAAATCAATCCATTGACTGCATATGCTTGCCATCAAATATACCCAAGAGAATATCAGCCATCTGTGTATTTGCAGAAATCTTGGTTAAAGGCTTTGGACTTCCACAGCGCATAGAATTTGACGCTCAGTATAACCCTCCTACGTTTTTCTGTTTTCTGCTTATGCATAGGTGAGGTTCTCTACCTATACTCTTTGTTGGAGGGCCCTGTCCTTCCACTTCCCGTATCTTTTCATGTCAGTGCTAAACTCGTCTTCTAAATCCTAGCTGAATGCTACTTCCTCCATGAAACTTTTCTTGATTTTCCCAATCAAATTTAATCTTTTTTATAAATATTCACAGAACTTGGCTGTATGTCTTTTATATTCATAATCATTCCTACTTGTTTTCTTGTGATTTCTCAGCATATGGAATCTTACTGCTTGATAATACAGTCTTGAAGGAGGGAACTATGTCTTATTTACTTCTGTTTCCCATAATAGCTTGTACATATTATATGTTCATTTTTTTAATGAACAAATGAATGTGTCTATTTAATTATATGCTTAAATATTCTATTTTAAAGTAGGTTAATGTCAGATTTATTTTAGTATCATATAGAAGTGATTTCATATTTTTATTTCCACGTTGTACATTCACTATCAGTGATCCAAATTTGTCCTAGAAACGCTCATTGGAAAGGGAGGAATGCTTAACGAAAGTTTGGGAAAGGTGCACTCATCACCATCAACAAGAAATGGGTACAAGTATGTGTGCTTTATGGGGGAGAGGCATGAAATGAGTCCTGCAAAACACTGGAGTGGGAGAAAGGAAGACGGTGTCTCATCTTTAGAAGGGCAGAAGAGGAACATGGGAAAGTACATAAAATTGCATAGAATAAATATATAAGCCATTTTGCAGAATTTCACTTGTTTCACTGTTGATTTCCAGTGAAGGAAATGGATGGAATAAACTCTGCAAGTAGCCTTTTACTTTATTCTAATAGTCATTATCAGAATTAGATACATTAATTTTTAAGAGATATTTTTATTACTTCTGTAAATTTCATTTCTGGTTTAAATAAAAGATACTAGTTTAGGATCCCAGGGACTTTTATTTTTTTGGTAAAAACAAAAAGTTAATATTTGTACCTGGTTCCTATTAAAAAGGAAGGGAATGGAAGAACCTCACCTGCTGTGGCAAAACCTGTTCCATCAAAGTATGTTCCCTTCTGAGCATTTGCAAAACATGTCCCAACATGGAAGCTGGAAGTTGGTTTTTCAAGGTCAGCAGGGGCCTCTGCCATATGAAGATTCCTGATACAGCCGTCAATGCTGTAGGTCACCTAAATGTTCAAGTCAGAAAAAACAAATGTCAGGTTTTAATAGACCTTTGCCTTTATGTGGAATGCAATCATTTGTAAGGAGCTCTGTGTATGTAATCTTTAGTCAGTTGTCTATAGCAGCCCCAAAGGCTGTCAGGGTCTGCATCATCACCCCAGACTTCACAGCATGGTGCAGAGATTCCTATGTTGTACCTCTCAACTAGAATGTATCTAGCCTAGAATATGATCATTCTGATTTGAGGTGGTTCCTATATCGCTAATGGGACCACTGGCTTGACAGAGCTGTGCGCCCCACTTGGATGTCATAATTTTGAATTAGTCTCTATGCTCCTGATTTCAGGTTTCTATTAATAGCTTATTTACTACATATACATTTTGTCATAATTGATGTTCAATTCTATTTGAAAAAGATAATTAGGTTTGGTTCAGTGTTTTTTCCTTTTGGAAATCTAATGAAAACAGTGTACCCTTCCCTAAGAAAATGCACATACCCATAAAACTTGAATGTTTGAAATATCTGGTGTTCAGGAACTCTAGAAATAAATCAACCATACTCTGCTCCAGTATACTTCATCTAGTTTTGGGAACTCACATTAATCACTTTTGCCACTCTTAATTCAGAGACTCTCATTTTTGACAGGGCAATAACTATGAAAGAAGAATAGTATTGATCGTCCACAGAGAAGTCAAATACTGAGAACCACACTATAATGGGCAATTGTCTTTGATGAATTAACAAATCTACATATATTTATCATGTGTTCTAATTTCAGTATAGAAATGTATCACATTTGTACGCAATGTGTTCTCTGAAAACACCAATCCTCTGTGCTCTTCGAATAATGATATCCAAAGCAAACCAAGACAGATGGTTTGACAAAAAATTATTTTGTGAATATTGATCTACAAAACTGTGAAGACTTTAAATTCTGAATCCAATATTGGATAATTGTACTCTAAATACTGAATCTCTCGATATATGCTAAGTTTCTGGTCCTGAAACATGAACATCAACACCATCATCATCATCTTCCTTGCTGTCTATATGACAGGTAATTTTTAAAGCACTTTAAATCTATTACCTCATTTAATCTTTACAGCAACCCTATTCATTTGGTGGTGGTTCAGTGGCAGAAATTTTGCCTTCCATGTGGGAGATCCAGGTTGGATTCCTAGCCAATGCACCTCAAATGCAGCCACCATCTGTCAGTGGAAGGTTGCATATTGCTGTAACGCTAAACAGGTTTCACAGAGTTATCAGACTAAGACAGACCAGGAAGAAAGTCCTGGTGATCTACTTCTGAAAAATCAGCCAATGAAAACTCTGTGGATCACAATGGTCCAATCCTATATTATGCATGGGGTCCCCATGAGTTGAGGGCCAACTCAATGGCAGATAGCAGCACAACATTAGTACCCTATTTTATAAATGAGGGAACTTTGTCAAAGAAAAGTAAGTAACTTGCTCAAGCTCACACAGCTAGTCAATAGTGAAGCAGATATTCAAACCAAGGGAGTTTGGCTCCAGAGTCCCCACTTTGGTCTGTGATACTGCCTTTCATAGTCAAATCTTCCTATAAAATCTTCCATCAGTTTTCAGAAAAGATATTTCTTATTGATTGTGGGCAAATGTGACCTAATAATTCAAAATACATACATGAATAAATAACTCAGCCAATTATTTAGACAACAAAGAAACAAATTAGACACTTACTGGACCAATTCTTCGGGTAGTGTAGTTGATCGGTAGACCTCCAACATACAACATTCCCACAACGTCCAGGATATCAGCTTTCTTGGGACTGATGGTTCTGTTGGAGGCATCATCTACATAAAGAATTCCTTCTTGCTTAATTCGCATAATCTTAATCTACAAAAAACAAGAGGAGCCATTAATACTAAGCTTGGACAAATTTCAAACAGAGTATAAGACATGAACTTTTATCATATTCCTAAGGAAAAAGGAAATAACTTTCACTGAGTGCCTCGTGTGTGTGAAGCCTATAATATAAGTGAAATTAGGCCTATGTTGCAAACTATCTCCTTGTTGCAAATTCTGTCCTCTTCATTACTGTTCTCTCTAAAAGAGTACGAAATTTTTCTGGGTAAGTTTTAGATAGAAGATTCTTCTATGGGTTGCCAAGTGTGCATCTGTATCAAGAGGTAGACATGTTGGAAGGAACCTTGCAGATGGATGGCACTGTCATGAATTAAGTGGGCTACAAAATGAAAGTCCAGGTTTAAACGTGCATTAATTAGATTGAGCAAAGCCTGGGCTAATCAACACAATTTTAGATAGCCTACATTACTCTGCCCCTCTCTACAGAATTAAAGGAAGAGCAGTGCAACCAGGCTGCACTGCCATTTCTGTAGCACCTGATTAGTACCAAGCCAGGGAGGAAGGGTAGACTTTGCACTTTTGTTTATTTTAGGTTCTTTGGCTTTCTATATGATATGAAAAGTCAAAAGTTAATATATCAAATCCAGCAACTAATGATATCCTACTCCAAAAATTAAAACATTTTATTGGTCTACTTTGGGAAGCTTTACTTAAGAGGCTATCATAGATGCAGACATAAATTCTGAGATTTTATTTTAATCAGGCAGTATATTATCTATTTGCAATCATGCCAAAGAGGACAATAAGCTGTCAAATAAGCCTTCTGTGACCATAATAGTACCAGTTTCTGGGTGTAGCCAAAGTTTTTAAAGTTGTTTCAAATGAATGTAGGTGGAAATGATACCTTAGAGCCCTTTAAACACAAGATAGCAAAGATTCCAAACTCTTTGGTTTTTCACAGACCAGTAGGGGTTGGGTGTGTGTGTGGGGTAACTCTTTGGGCCCATCCTCGTGTTGACAACTTTTAGTTTTGTCAAACATTATTTCATAAAAGAGAGGCCATTTTAGTACCTTAAAACTGGGACAATATAATCTCAGAATAAATATTCTTCCTTTAAATGGAAGAAATAGAGCTTTATGATTAACACATTCCAATGTCATATATTTCTCACTTCCAGAAGGAAAAATGTCTTCAACTGCCTGGCCCTAGATTGTGGGCAGATGTTTGATAGAACCGTCTAGTACCATGATGAAGCATGTAAGTACTCAGATGTAAACCTACCCAGGTCTAACCACATTTTCCAAGGTTGTGGCAGCTCTATAAGGCACTTGCTCTATTTTTAGTCTCCGCCACTTTCCAGTAGCCCCATAGCAAGTGTCTGCACTGGCAAAACAGTACTGGCAGTAGGGGAACACTGATGGCTACCACCTGTACTCTGTACCCACATCTGAGGCCACTGCCAGTATCTTGGGGTCTATAATACCTTGTGCCACTGGCCATCATTGATTTTAGCGGGGATCATGGTTTTGGTGTCACCACTTCCTAAGTCATAACTGAAGTAGGGCAATCCATTTCTCAGCTGAACAGTAGCAAAATCAGCATGATTGATCCGAGCCAAGTAAAAAAGCAATCCTGATTCAGCTTCAGTTCGCACTTCAAACTCAATTGTGAGGCTGTGAAATAAAAGCATACAAAATAAAACAGCGCATTCTTCTAAGATACAATGATGGTAGATCATGAGCGCATTTCCATAGAAGTACAGCAAACCTTCTCAGAGATGAGGACTCTCCAGTTCTGCTGATTGCCTAATCTGGGCTCCTCAGGCTCAGAAAAATATAATTCTATTCTCTACTACACTGGATGAATTTAAAAAAAACAAACCACATACTTCATTAATTCATACATATAGTTGATTAAACTTGATTAAATGCAAATACTCAGTACTTCCATTTATCAGTTTTTGCAAAACTTCTCAGAATAATACATACCGGTTCTTAACCTTGGTGTCATCGAATGCAATTGCAATGTGACTATTTTTTGAAAGCCCAAACTGCTTACTCCCCAGCAAAAGAGCTGGTTCTGATTCTGCAGCACAAGGACCCTGTAAAATACCAAGGGGAGAGACAGAAAGGAAGTTACGGACTCTGTTCTTTGAAAACGTAATGTTATTGTTGTCAGGTGTCGTTGAGTCGGTTCCAACGCATAGTGAACCCGTGCACGACAGAACGAAGCACTGCCCGGTCCTGCGCCATCCTCATAATCGTTGCTACGCTTGAGCCCATTGTTGCAGCCACTGTGTCTATCCATCTCGTTGAGGGTCTTCCTCTCTTTTGCTGACCCTCTGCTGGTGTTTAATTGTTTCTGATATATTAGCTTGGTGTCCTTGTATTGTCTTATTTAAGTTCCTTGAGAATAAAAATGGACTCTTATTTATCTCTGTATTCTACTATATACTAGGTACTGATTATTAAATGTCCACTGAATGTGAATCAGTTATCATATATTTTTGAATTACCAAATGAATGTGTTCAACAAATATTTATTGATTAACTAATATTTTCATTATCCTCTAAGGAAAAACATTGCTTTTATTTCTGAGGAAACTAGAATTTCCGTTTCATTTTTACTTTGCTCAGGAGGAGTTTTAGAAGATTGTAACAGGGAAAATGACAAGCTAGCCACCCAGGAGATTATAACAGTAGAAAAACATTTTTCTTCTTGCCCTCCCCATTCCCATTCCCCGTTATATTACTTTTCCTTGAAAATTATTGGTCCACTAGAAGGTTTCCATGAATTTAGACTTTCAAGATGGTGTATCTAAACCTGCAAGTCAGCTCATTCAGGTCCTTAGCCAGTTGCTAGGCAACCAAGCACGTTTTTCAATGTAACTCATCATACACCATTTCAGCTGCCACTGTTCAAAGATCAGCATCCTAGGGTGCTTAAGAGAGAGAGTTAGATATAGGGCTGACTTCATAGGTGTGCTATTTATGCAGTCACTTGGTTTAATGCTCTGCTGTCACTATCCTGAATTTCTTAATAATTTTTGAACAAAGGTCCCTGAATTTTCATTTTGCATTAGGCCCTGCAAATTATATAGCCAGTCCTGGCTAAGTGGACCATATTTGACTACTGTAACCCTCAGCTCAACAGAGTATCAAGGCTTCTCAAATTACCAAAGCCACAATTCTTTTCCCTCTTTTCTGTTTTCTCAAGATCGCTCCATATACAGGTTGGTTAGAAAGGCTTGTAGAACATGCAGTACATGAGAAAATAAATAACCTGTACACTCTGACCAAACCATCTGTTTTTGAGATCTGCACTTAATAGCTCTCAATGGGCCACTGCCCCGTGAGCGCTGACTCGGCAGAGGTTCTCGAGCAGCCCAAGGTAGCCTCTTCGATGAGAAGTGTTCTTCCCGAATAATGCACCTCAGATATGACCCATCAGTACACAGACTATTTCTACTCGGTGAGGAAAAGCCTCATTCTCTTTTCTCTTGAGCTTAGTCAAACCAAGCTGTCTGCCACAGCAGGTAAGAGGTTTACATGTTTTGAAATGCTATGAAATTGGTCTTTATGGAGGTATTTTCTTTCTTACGCCCCAGGATACGGTCAATTATAAAAAGCAGACTGTGGCTGAAATTCCTGAGATATGCATAAACCCAGTAGGTAGGACAGGAAAATGTTCACTCAGAGAGCTGAACACGTGCAGCATCTTCGGAATCAACGTGCAGCACCTTGCCTATTACACTGCCTGCAGAGAGAGCCCGAAAGGAGAAGGCTTTGGAGGCTTAGTGTCTCAGCAGTCAGGGCTGCTATTAACATAATTGGGAACATTTATCAAGCTCTCAGGACATTTCCTGTACAGAGGACCATCGTAACACACATAAGTAGCCTGCGATCTCCCCTTGGAAATCTCTAACAGAATCTTACCAGATATAAGCCCACTGGGGGCAGAATTTGACTAACCCTCAGCTCTGAAAACTCAGGGATTGAAAAGATCAATGAATGTTGAGGAATTAGGGAAAAATAACGTGTAGTCTAAAAGAAAACTACCACCAGATTGTTTCCATCTCATTGTTAAAATTGTGGTCACTTGTCTAGTTATTATAAGCCAATACAAACCAGTTGCTCTCGAGTGGATTCTGACTCATGGCAACACATATGTGTCAGAGTAGAACTGGTCTCCATAGGGTTTTCAATGGTTGTTTTTTTTAAGAAGTAGATCTCCAGGCCTTTCTTCAGAGGCACCTCTGAGTGGACTCAAATTTCCAACCTTTTGGTTAGCAGCTGTGCATATTAACTGTTTGCACCCCCCCCCAAGGACTCCTAGTTAATATATAAAAATGTTAATATAAAATAACGTTTCTAATATAATTTTTAAAATTATCAAGGTGGCAGCTGCAAAGATTAGATAGTTTATTGTTAGTAGCATTATGTTTGGAGAGTTTTGACTTTATATGTTGCCTCATGGCCCTAACATTGTGATACAGTTGCTTCCTGCTAGGCTGTACAGGTATTTCCAAAACTGGTCCTGAGCTGAGCAGTAGTTCTCCATCACGTGGTATCAGATACTCTAGATGGAAAGGGCCCTGCTTAAGTCATGTTAGGAACACCTCTGAGCAGAAAAGGACAGGGACTTTGTAAGGGTCCTTTTGAGAAGTATTGCATACAACCAAAAACCAAATCCATTTCTGCTGAGTTGATTCTGACTCATAGCGACCCTATAGGGCAGAGTAGAACTGTCCCCTAGAATTTCCAAGGAGAGGCTGGTGGATTTGAACTGCTGACCTTTTGGTTTGCAGACAAGCTCTTAACCACTGCTCCACCAGGGCTCCATTGCGTGAAATATCCACTTAAAATTTAGGAAGAAGAGAGCCTTCCAGTGGGGCTCCTTCTTCACTTCTGCAATAGGTGGATCTTGAGAAACAGGTGGAAGCAGTGGTTAATAAAACAGTGTTCTCAGATTGACCAACGATATAGAATACAGTGGTAACAAAGTCATCACTGTAGTTGGCAACCAACAAAGTATAAAACCAGTACAGTAAGTTCATTTTTCTTTCAGAACATCCTGAACAGATGTTTACCATTATTGATTTGCAATGAGAGGGAGCTTACAGATATTTCTTTAATAAAACTTCTACCACCTTCCTTTATAAAACTGATGGTTGAAAAAGGACTGAGAGGTTCCTGTGTAAGAATACTTTTGTATGTATCTACTTTAGAATTGATACAGGGAATAAAATTCTCAGGCCTCTAATCTGGTAAATTTTGGGGTACAAATCTAGATCCCCCCTCTCCCTTGGTTAAAGGGAGACAAAAATGGATTATGTCTGCTTAGCATCACTTTTTGCTGGGTGTATCTGAAAACACGCCTGATGTTAGGACACGTGCAGGACAGCGCCATTTCTCAGCGTTTCACCTGCTGTTGTATTCTCCTCCCCCTCCCTCAAGTCCCTCCCAGGTGATACTGCTCATCCTGGCTTTCAAGCTTTTTTTTTTATTTTTTTAACCTCTAACATTTTAAAGAGGAACATGTGAGATGGAACAGAAAGTTCCCATAGTTCGCACAAGAATAAAACAATCTTGTCATTCAGGATGTTTTCAGTCCTGATTCCTTCCTATAGTCATCAAACTAAGAAAGAGGGCTAGGAGGAAGAGTCTTCAAATGAGCTAATTATAAGGAACTTTTAACACATGGTCACTGCAAGATGAATCTTCCTCCTTCAAGCTAATGTGAACTTGAGGAGAGTCATCATGTTTATGGACATGATGCTTTACCTGTGTTGTTTTGGAAACACTGGTTTCTGAAATGTGTTAAAACAACAATAATAAAAATCAGGGTCACAGTAGAGCTCATCAATCTCAACACGTTACAATTCTGCCACCTGGTGGCGACTCTTTAAAGTACTACCAAATCCCTAAAAAAACGAAACCCATTGCCCTGGAGCCAATTCTGACTCATAACGATTCGACAGGACAGAGTAGAACTTCCCCCATAGGCTCTCCAAGGCTGTAATCTTTACAGAACAGACCACCACATCTTTCTCTCACGGGGCTGGTGGGTTCAAACTGCCAGCCTTTTGGTTAGCAGCCAAGTGCTCAACCCCTGCACCACGTGGGCTCCTTCACTACAAGTATACTTGGGGGTAATGTGATATAAAACCAGGACACAATGTACTAGCTGCTTGTTTGTCTATGCTTGGCAGGTTACTAGTTGTGGTCAGACAGGCACTGGGTGAGGGATCTACATTTGGCAGTTGTTGATGAGAGTAGTGACATGTTCGGAGAGGATTCAGAAGGAAGCCATGCTTCTTTTAGGAAAGTGTTTAGGAAGTGAATAGTGCAGATTAGTAATGGGGTGAACACCTTTCCACTCTCACACTGTTATGCATTTAATTTTAGGTCAAAATTAAGCCGTAGTCATTTGCAACTGGCTGGCTGGTGGCTGGCATTTGGAAATTAGTTATTGGATTCAACATAGCATAGGATTGGTTGATAAACATTCTTTGAATTCAGATTGATCCAGAGCACAAATTTAAATAGCCTTTATCAAAACTGGATATTTGGTCTTGTCATTGAAAGCACCAGATAAAGACGGTTCATGAAAATTGCATAATTTTCTTCTTTCTCAGGTTCATAACCTGTCTAACAAATGTGGGCTAAAATCACATCTGAGAAGCTGGACATGTATTTGTGATGCTCTTTTTATAGATGAATACTAAGTGGAAGATACTTTTTACAGCACTAACTTTAAGGTTCTGAAGTATAATATTCCGACTCAAGCTGTTTATTGAGAAATTGAATTTTGTTAATTCTCTGCATATGAGTTCTTTGGTGGGTATTGGTCATTTGTAGTAATATTGACACACTAATGCCTGAATGGAGCCCCTGGGTGGTACAAAT